CTTCAAAGTTCCCAATCTTATTGCTGTTGGTCAAAAATCTTAATAATACCATTGTATTTCCGTTCAAATTTTATTACTTACTATCGATGGGCTTGATTGGTCTATTCGGATCAATTTCATTACAATATGATCTACCAAATTATAGTACATTGGAACAACAACAAAATCCAATTTGTTTTAACAAGAAAATAAAAGCATACAAAATTAAACACCTTTTTCCAATTATAAAGTCACCGTATTTGAGTCAGATCCAGGGTTGAGAGTACCAATACCTTATATTTTTACACAGTTGCATATTGTACTTCTTTCAAAATTCTATACAGTTTGGTGTGACAAAAAATCGATTTCATTGAAAAATGAAGTGAATATTTTTATGACATTTGTGGCTGAGAAATGAATCATGACAGGGAAAAGGCCTATTTTTATAATACTTGCATGCTTTTACGGGTAAGTAAAAAAAAATTCTCTGGTTGCCCCCCCCCCCCCCTCCACTTTCAAAACCTATGCTACGTGCCTGACTTTAGAGTTTGACCCACTTCTAAAAACCTTAACCTCTGAACACTTAGTACAAGAGCTTTCATATTTCACAGGTGTATTCCTTCTGACAAGAATAACGTTTTTACGACAGACGGACTGAGACAAATAGACAAAAAAAAAAGGAAAATTACTGTCCCGACTAGCTTTTCCAACACTCTATTTAACAATTGACTGCCGTCATGAGAAAAGGGCCCTTATCTTTTGATGTCATGTACAATGCTCAGAAAACGACGTCAAAGACTCGGTATTGTAAACATGGAAGTAATTTTTGTTGACTGCATTTTGTAAACAAGAAATAAAATTGAATTTCAAAGTGTAACAAAAATTTGAAGCTTGATGCGGACATTTTTTTAATTAATGGGTATATGATATGATTACAATTTAGTACGTAACTTTATTCATAATTTTGTTTAAATATTTAACTTGATGCTGATATACGGGACATTGGACATGCACAAATTGCTAGCTCTGGAACAGCGATTAAAACGATGTCTATGCATGGCGAAATTGAAGATGCTGTTTTTTTTGTTTTCTGGGCAATTTACAAATACTTTAATTTGAATTCATGTTAAGAAGTCTCAATATCAAAGGTATATTCCATGTACTAGACTAGTATATTTTTGTCAGAGAGAGAGAAGAGCGAGCGAGAGGTCTATGCACATATAGTAATTACCGTTTTTATAAGAGCTACTTTTCCCCTAAAAATATATGTTTTACCATAATGTAATAATGTAAAACATACAGAATGTATTTAGTCATTTTAATTTTAATCCATAGTTAATTACACTGATGTACCCCGATAGCCAGCCTTCAATGAACTGTCGATTTTAATTTTTTTTAAAGGGGGGGGGGGTAAGAAGACAAGCCAAACAAAAATCTCCGGATAAAAAGACCGGTTAATGTTAAGCTAAGAAACATAATCCCTCTTTTATTAGATAAAGATACTGGTAACATGGGAGATCCAAACCTACATCAACAGTAAATAACTTACTTTTAGTTTTAATAACTTACCTTTTACTAAATTAACAGTAATAGAGAATGATAAGGGGAAAAAATACGGATGATAGGGATGTCACAATTTTGTTAAATAAATTTTGTTTCAAATACTAATCTAAAATGATCAAATAAATACATTCAAAGGAATTGTATGGTAGAAATTATTTTTGTTTCAAATTTCTGAAATTGTTCCGATGAAATGATTGAATGAAAATCAACTGGAGCCTATTTTGCAATATGTTAAGAAATTAAATACAGCTACTGTAGACTTTTCCCAAAAGCATTATACCCAATGTTGAAGAAATGAACAATATTACATCGACAATGATAATATGAATGAGGAACCAAAAGGAAAAATAAAACTATAGATTAAGCAAAAAGACGTACGAATTTCCGGATATCACATATATGGCTACATCTCTTGAGAATACATTCACCGAAAGAGCAAAAAGTATGTAACAAATTATAATTTCCAAAAGTTATGAACATTTTTAAAATCTTTAAAAACTTTAATGAGCGTGAAATATTATTATATAACTGACTTTTGAATTCTTGATATGAAATAAATAAACCACATTTTGCGTTGAAATCTTCAACTCTGATACATGTATCAAAATACCCCGCATATCTTGACATTAATTTCTTAAAGTTCCGTTGAAATCGAGATAAGACTTTATATCGTAATCCTTACATGACCCTACGGAAAGTAATTAATAAAGAAACACAAATTTTTCTTCTTTTAAAGAAAATATTGATCATTACAATCGCAGCAAATAGCAACGGGGGAAGGGGGTGGAGTTTACATTGAAAGTCCCTCCCCCCCCCCCCACACACCACCACCACCACACACACACATACACACTCTTTGTTGTAGTATAGTCAAATTCGTGCACTATAGGGCTAAAGAATAAGGCAGTGTTTTATGTTTGATTAAGAAAATTTGATACTAAAAGAAGTTTGAACCTACCCACCCCCCTTTCTGCCCAACGGCGAAATTGGATTCGAGTTTCGACACCCCCCCCCCCTTTTTTAAGGTAAATTTATTTATTTTTTCTGGCTGAACCATCCCCCAAATTTTTCAAAGGAGTTAGTGTGGGGACAGGCTAAGGTACAAGTCAAATGTTTTTATTTTGGGATATGTTTGGTATGTTCTGAATGTAACAACTTGGAAAAAATGGTCTGCCTAAGTAAATATTTCAGCGAAAGAGAGTCAGATTAGAGCGGTTTAATATTTACTTAATTAACAGCATCGCCTCAGACAAAAAGCGTTAAGGTATGTTGTACATAATAGTTCATCATTGGATAAGACAATCGCATCGAAATTTTGAAAAGCTTATATCAAGTTAATTAGCCATTCACGGAGGAAAATGAATACTAAGTAGATGACCGTTCGTGGCCGTGAAAAATTGTTTCGCTTGTCAAGGAAAATTTGGTGATTGAAAGTGCCTACATGTACAACTGAAAAAAAAATATAGCTCCCCCAACTGAAATGGCTTCCTAAGGGCCAGCCGTTCTTGCGTAAAAATAAAAATACAGTGGACCTTCAGATATCCGGAAGCCAGATATCCGGAATGTATCCGAACGATTTTTCATCGGGACGAAAGTTTTATTAACTGGTAATTCCGGTATCCGGACGCTTCACATATCCGGGCAAATTGACTAGGAATCAAAGCATCCGGATAAATGAGGCTCCACTAAGTATATTTTCAGTTTCAGTTTCAAATAGATTTCGTCAAAATTTTAATATGGAAATGTAATTTCGCACAGAAAAGTCAAGACCGTTTAGTGTAAATATAATAAAAAGAGACAAGAACAGCACACTTGCCATCTTTTTTAATTTAAATTATACAATATTATACATAAATATTTTTTTGAGATCATAGAAGCGGCCTTGTAAGAAATATACAAATGTTGTGTTCATGTGAAACAGGGTACAGGTGCCACAAAATATATTTTAAAAAAAGGTAAATGAGCAGAAATATTTGTAACCGATTTTTATTGTGATTTAATTTTTTAAAAAAAATAAGAAGTTAAAAGACGGTTTAAATTTGAGGCATAAATTCAAAGAAAGTTTCAATTTTAGGTTTACGGTATATAAATAATTCATTTGTCCTTTATTTGCCAATTTACTACCACGTTTCTACTCCATAACTAAGACAGGCGACGAAAATGAATTGTATACACAGTGGAAACCTTGAGCTTTAAACATTTTAATTTTTAAATAAAATGTTCAAAAACGTAAAAAAAATTTAAAATCCGCTTGCATCTAAGAAGGGAACTTATATTTTTTCATGAATGTTTATAAAGCAATAAACGTTTTTAAAAACAAGTTTACATATCCTAGCGTATCTGAATTTATTTCTCAATTGAATTTTTGGTGATACAGAAAATTCATGGTGTTTTTTTTTTTATTATAGTAACAGAAGAAAGTTACTTGCGTGTGTGATTGTGAGTGAATGCTGTCTCACAAGTTTTTTTTTATTATCGGGATCGATGTTCTTTTTGCGAGGGGTGCCCCTATTTGCTCGTGGTGTCCTTCTGCATGGGATTCTCTATCTATGTATATATTTCTTTTAATCTTTAAGTGTTACAAATTCTTTATATATTTTATAAATTGAATTAGATTATTTGATATAAAAAGAATGATTTTTATGGATTTAAACAAATATTATTTCCCTACTGATTATGTTATAAACCGTTCCTACATTCTGTCTAGACCCCCCTCCCCCTCCCTTTTACGAATTACTAGATCTGCTCTAAAATTAGCATGGAAATAGTGATAACATACGAAATCCCTCAGGAATAGTTAAATACTAGTCGCTTGGAGGAAAAAAAATAAATACTTTCTCATATTTTAAATGCTCAAAACGATTGAGGTTATTTAAATAACACGTGATTTTAAGATTTTTTGAAAATTGAATAAGACGCAGGCGACGTCATTACGTTTTCAGTGAGTAACGTCAAGGTTATTTTTGAAGCGCCTCACTAAAATGCTCATAAAATATCGAAAAAGTGAGATATTTTCAAAATTTATGTATATTTGCATTCAGAAAGAGTCCGGCTATCAAAATTTACCAAAAAGTCAATTTGTGAAAATTTGACCTTAAGGGCCCTTTTCTCGTGACGGCAGTCATATTATAAACAGCTTCGTCATTCTTTACAGCACAAGTGGCAACAAGTTGTCGTGCTTTTGTGATAATGGTCTGCTTGCTTTTCATAGTTTCTAATATTGCTCAATAAAGCTTTAAAGTACAGCAGCTGAAAATTTCAATTTTTTAAAATTTCGACTGTTACCATGACAACCAATACACATAGCAACGGAATTTAATTTGAAATATGTTTCTGGTGACAAGTACTAAAAATGGGTGAAGTTTCATCAAAATCGGTGACCGTGCATGGCAAAGAAGATTAAGTGCTTACAGAGAATTCCTATTAAATAATTCTGAGGTTTCCCCCCTTTTTTGTAGCTTTCAAAGAGAAGAAAAAGAATTCAAAGGAATTGAGGAAGGTTAGTAGTACAAAATCAAGTCATTTGTAATGCGGTAAGTTAAGAATATTAATCGTATTAGCTTTAAACTGTATACATGGAAAACATCAAGTTTTGTCAGAATAGAGATGATAAAATTTCCTTAGCTGTTTAAAGATAAGAAGTAAGGATTTGCAAGATCAAGATAAATTCTTACAATATGCAATTCAGATTATTCTATACCTTACTCGTACATATTTTAGGGTTTTATACATAAACGAGGTAAAGTTAACGACATCTTATCAATCTTGTAAATTACATCCGCCGTGAGCCATCACTACTGTTAATAAAATCAAGCACTGTATCTTATTCAATCATTAATCAATTTGCTACTCATTGCTTTTTCGTTTCTGTAGATCTACAAGAAAGGTTACATGATGCATTTGGTGCATTCTGTAGCACTAACGTATTCAGACACGTGTAACAAACCAGTGGTAAGCATATACGCTTTGTACATGTATTAAAGTGCAGCTTCTGGAATTATCTTTTAAAAATACATGATTGCCCCATTAACGACGTTCGATCCTGATATTTAAAGTCTTAAACTTTTTTTGCCAAGTATATTTTTAGTTTGTACATAAATAGCTTAATTCAAATTCAAATCAAAAAATGGGGGTCAATACGCTCCTTTTGGCGCTACATTACATTTAATATGACCTTCTTGCACTAAAATTTGTGTCTTAATTGAAAATTAAATTTTTGACGTTTTCCCTTCAATATTTTTATGTAATTAAAGCATGAAACAAAATGAACTCTAAGTTTGTTTAAAAAAAAGACACTTAAAAATTGTGACTAAGAAAAAGTTTTAAATTGCTTCGCATAATCAATTATTTGACCTTTCTGTACTAATAAAAAGTGATTTTTCTGGCATTGAAAATTTAATAAGCAAGGAAATTATTTTAAAGTCTTAAACTTTTTCTGATTTTAAGCAAATAAGTCAAATTTATCTTGAATATTTAGAAAAGAACATCAAAAGTGGGGTTATATGATGACAATTTTTAGATATCACTAAAAAAGTGTCAATTTTACGTTAAAATTGGCTAAATTTTTCCCCGGATTTTCAGAATACATCGACTATACTTGTCACACTTTGTTGATAGAATTCATAAGAAATAATTTAATAGATATTTCAGAACTAGCATAACACATTTCACTGCAAAAAACAGCTTTGTGTGCAACCAGGATGGAAAAATAGCATGGAAAAAAGAACAGTACTGTTATAGTTCAAAATGGAAAAACTGATCATTTTCGTCTAAAAAAAAAACCTTCCGCCACAAAATATAGTCCCTAGCTTAATTCTATATGAATGGAATTTAATCGCAGTTTTTTTCATTGAATATAGTTAAATTTGCACCGTAGAATTCAGATGTAATGTTAGAACTTAAAAATGATGTAGAATTTTATAAATAAAAGACCTGACCAAAATACTCTCAAAATCTCAGGATCGAACGTCCTTAATGGCAAAAACATGAGATTTCGTTTATCTTATAAAAGATTTACTGTGTTATTTATAACTAAGGTAAACGCTGTGGCCGATGGCTCTCAAATTTTAAGTTTCAAGTTTTAAGTATAAAAGAGGTTTGATTCTGAATACCGACCCATCCAGATATACAAATATAACATTTTCAGAAAAACAATAAAAACACGTAAAGGAATGTAAGACTTAAACCCTTGTCACATCAGGTCTGCGTCTGCACGGCGATTCTGCACCGTACAAAAAAAAATAAATAAACAAGCAAATTTAAAGAATTGTGGTCCCCGCTTTCGGTGTCTTTGTGGTGATATGTCAAATATGAACACTATATTATGTGTCAATTAGAAATTATAGCCAAAGTTGATTTTTTTTTTAAATAAGGTCAGTTGTGAAGGCCAAGGCATATGAAAGCCCCATCTCTTCTCAATCAAAAGTTAAAAGAAACAAAATGCGTTTGTAAAACACTGATGACCCCGTATGGCAACAAAGCGAAGATTAAACTATTCTTAAATACACATTAAATACCGATATATTGGTACCCTAATGTTTAAAAGTAGGCCAAACTCCAAGTTCAAGGTCAAAGGGTGTAAGTACTAATTGGATAATTGGTATCCAATGAAAGGACTTGTCACACGGATTTAATATTTTAAGTATGAAAGCCCTAGCCCTAACCCTTCAAAAGTTATGGCCAAGGTTAAAATTTTTGAAAAATGGGTCAAACTCCAAGGTCAAGTTCAGAAGGTCAAAGTTCTTGGTATCCAATGAAAAAACTTCTCATAAGCATTACACATGTGAAGCAAGAAAGTGCTAACCCTTACTGTTTTAGAGTTATAGACAAGGTCAAGGAGAAAAGGTCAAAGTTGTTGATATCCCATGAAAGGTCTTACCACAAAGAATACATATGTGAAATATAAAAGCCCTGGTATCTACTGTTCAAAAGTTATTGCCAAAGTAAAAATTCTAATTTTTTGTGTAAAAGTAGGTCAAACTCAAAGGTCAAGGTCATAGGGTCAAATTTGGTGGTACCCAAAGAAAGGTCTTTTCACAGGGAATACACATGTGAAATATGAAAGTCATAGCTCCAATAAATCAAAAGTTATGGGCAAGGTTCAAGTTTTTGTGACGGACGGACAGACTTACAGACAGACTGAGAGACAGACGAATGAGATTTTATGTCAACTCGCTTTCGCGAAAGCGGGGGACAATAAAAATTAAAACCAAACATACTAACATAACGCCAAGGTGCGCTCAGTTAAGTCTTCTACAGCATCGCAAGAACTCGTCTGGATTTCCAAGTGACGCTTAAAACACCACACGAAGGTGCGCACTTTGAGCATGCACAAAGAACTTGTGGTTGCTCTGCATTCTAATATAGAGACAGTAGAAACGCCATATGTAGAGTCACTGTTACAGTGTGATGCGGTCTTCAATAGGCACACGAGTTCCGCTGGCTTAAGTGAAACATGATCGCAGTGTGAAAGTACGGGCATAGTTGACGGCGCTTGCACAGTGCCCTCTCGGACTTTTTTTGAGTCGTAACTGTGTTAAGAACGTCTTGTGCTTACTGTAATGGCGTTGTGTAAGCCGTTTTGAAGTGACAACTCCAAGCATGCCATGAGCATTCAGCGAAGTCAGTCGTCAGTTAGAGACACCTTCTTACCGTCAGGACGCCGTGTCATTTTTTGAAAATTTCAACGAATTTTACTGATAATAAAAGGGACATGGACACAGTTTTAACAGATTTTTTATGCCCCCGTAAACGAAGTTTTATGCCCCCGTAAACGAAGTTTCGGGGGCATATAGTTTTTGTCGTGTCTGTCTGTCTGTCTGTCTGTCTCTCTGTCTGTGTGTCTGTCTGTCTCTCTCTCTGTCTCTCTGGCTCTCTGTCTAACTGTTTGTCTGTTTGTTCGCAAAAACTTTAACCTTGCCCATAACTTTTGATTTAGTTGAGCTATGACTTTCATATTTCATATGTGTATTCCTTGTGACAAGACCTTTCTTTGAGTACCACCAAATTTGACCTTCTGACCTTGACCTTGGAGTTTGACCCACTTTTACATGAAAATTTTAAAATTTTACTTTGGCCATATCTTTTGAAGAATAGACACCAGGACATTTATACTTCACATATGTAATGTTTTTTGAAAGACCTTTCACTGGATACCAACCACCTTGACCCTTTGACCTTGACCTTGTAGATTTCCGTACTTGTGAAAAAACATTAACCTTGGCCATAACTTTTGAACGGTAAGGGATAGGGCTTTCATACTTCATTTATGTAATCCTTGTGAGAAGACCCTTCATTAAATACCAAGATTTTTTACCCTTTGACCTTGACCCTTGAGATTGACCTCCTTTGAAAAAGCAAACCTTGACCATAACTTTTATAGAGTTAGGGCTAGTGCTTTCATACTTTACATATTTAATCCTTATGACAAGACCTTTCATTTGATAACAATAACTTTGGCCCTTTGACCTTGACCTTGGAGTTTGACCAACTTTTTAAGAAATTGAACGTTGACCATAACTTCTGAACGGTTAGGGCTAGGGCTTTCATGCGCTAGAAAAGTATTTTATGTGGCAAGACCTTTCATTTGATACTAATAACATTGACCTTTTGTCCTTGACCTTGGAGATTTTTGTACTTATTAAAAAATTTAACATAAGCTTACTTTCAAATTTCACAATCATTTTCCAGTGAGAATACCCTACTTTTGGTACCAATTAATTAAATTTGCATTAAAAAAAAAGCTTTATCTTTGATATGTTGCCATACGGGGGCATCAGTGTTTTACAAACACATCTTGTTTAACCAGTTTTAATGTGTGCAATTCCTTCATAAGGTAATTTTAATGAAACACAAAAATATGAAAATCATTTGTTGATTTCCGAAGGAGACACAGAACTTAGGCCTTTCAACTAATTGTTCAAGTTGCACATATGGTAAAAAGCATTGCATAAATAGATTTATAGGTACATAAAATTATCAAAAAAGAGAATAACTGATGCATACATTTAATTACATCATTAAAAAGTTTAATTATTTATAATTGACTTTTCCGATGTTGTGTTTTAAGGATAGGTAACTCAGGTGTGAAAAATGACCAACTTAGTGCCGATTTATAAGTTATCGTTTATAGGAATGACATATAGGCTGCTTCAGAATTGGTATTGTTATGTACAAAAAAAAACAATGTACACACAGGTCGAGGAAACTATTTTCTGTGACGTCGGAATAAATTTACATGTTAAGTGGGGAACCAACGTGACTGACAAATCGACCAATCAGCTCAATGAGTTGCATTATGGGCTACTACAAAAATACCACACGTGTGTTTTGAAAAAGCCAATATTATAAATCACTCTCGGAAAAACGTGATGCATTTTTCCTAGCATTTTACACACTTAATACGCTATGAACATCATTATCTACTAATTCCATGCTCACATTTATATACAAATGATTTACAATGATTAAAATTAGGGTTTTCTCCACTCCGTTGTACAAATCCGTTTGTTGACAGTTTCCCCCCGTGCTGTGCTTTCAGTGAAAAGTCAATTTCACGTGACTATTCCTTGATTCAAAAACAATCAACTCTGAGGTGTGCTCACGTATTGACATTGTTTACAACGTAAACAACTTCGAAATACATGCTAGTCACGTTTTATGATCAATATGCAAATGGGTTTATATGACAGGTAATTTAAAAAAGTGCACCTAAAGTGTTTATTGTGTTTTTTCTTTGTTTATAAAATGATACCTTTAATTTCTAGTAACTAATAACCGAGCAACAACTAATTTAACCAGTTACATGGCAAATTAACGAATATCGAGTTAAACAACTCGAATCTTATTTACCTGTGAAGACTTTGTGAGCGGTATTTCAAAGTACAATTTAGCAAGGAAAACTGACTTTGTTTGTTAATGTGAGCATGGAGAATCTTAATTAGTACCAAATCTTCGTATTTTTCATAAACACATTTCAAAAAAATGTTAGCTGACTTTCCTGCAGTCATTTGAAATCGCATCCTAATTTTCCCTGACCCACGTGTTTGTAGTAAAAATAAACATGTAGTAGACCATCATGCTTTTCGGCTCATTCACTGGATTGGACTATTGTTTGCTGTGAGCACCTCTGTGCGCAATCGCAACAATATCCATATAAGGTAGTTTCCTCGACCTGACACAAAAGTGTTGACCACGAGAAAGAGAATGCCTTCACTCTACCTGAAATAACAGGGTCAAATGAATGGGGAACAGACTGTATTCAATATTTTAACTCTTTTTGAAGATTACTATGAAGAGGAGAATTTAATGTCATGTTTTTTATGTTCGCGCTTTTTCGCTTCCTATATAAATATATATATTTTTACAAGTAAATGCAGCAATTGATCATCTTACTTGTGTAACTAAGCACGAAGGGGAACGACCGAGTATAAAAATTTAATTAGGTTAGAACTAAGAAGGAGGGTAGATTTCACTTTTAATTTTCATTAAAATTTTTAATTATTTGTAGTGAAATGGTGTCCGCAACCATACGGTAAATAAGTTTAACATTGGTGCTTAATTTTAAAACAACTGGATTCTACTGAGAGCAAAGAAACACTTGGGAAATGCTAAAAACTGCCTTGCGTGTAAACAGTTCGATACTCCGAGCCTGCTCTCAACATGTTTCAGCAGTGAGTTATCGTTCATAAAACCGACCCCTAGCGGCAGTTGAAAGGCCTACAGAACTTAAAAGCCTTCATAATGTAAACAAGGCTCGTGCCTTGTTTTTGTTTACATTTAACCTTTGTAAGAAAAAAAAGCTGGCACTGCCCTTGCTTACATAGCAAAGGTTTGGAGCTCTAAATCTGTCTTGTATCTCGAAAACTGAAAATCAAAATTTTTTATGTTTATTAGAAATTCATTAGTTGAGATTTGTAGACATAAATAAATGGGAGGGGGGGAGGGTTAGCTTTAACTGTGTCGATGTCCCTTATAATTACAATCCAATAAATTCAAAAACCGTGCCAACATTGTAAGAAGGTAACCCTGTTAAGACGGGTTTTTTTTATTGAGCTCCTCAACTTCATCTCATTTTAATTCATTTTGTTTTCTCTTATAGACTGGAGGTTTGTTTACGCTTGGAATAATTCTCTATTCCGGCAGCTGTTATGCCCAGGGCTTGACGGGTGAAAGCAAGTTTGAAAACGGCACCAAAATTGGAGTCCTTGTTCTCATTGGTGCTTGGTTAAGCATGATTTATGGAGAAAAATAAACAAACACATAATTTTTGTAATCGGAGCAATAAACAAAAGCAAACAAATGTGTAAGAAAAATAAGCATATTATATTTGAAATATCGAAAGGGTTAGGTTTGTTACAACGATATGTATGGAAGTGTATGTCAAATGTGGATAAGATTTCTCGTTTTTTTTCATAAATCATCTAACAGTATTGTTTACATATTGCAATCAAATGACTGAAAGATAAGTCTTAATTCTGATTTAAGGCAAAACTTCTTGATCATCCAGATACTTGTTGTTATCATACCAACTTATAGTCGACGCGTCTTGTGATTCATCAAAAGTTTTTAAATGTCATTTTGATTCCACTCACAACTGCCCTGAAAATGATATAAAAAGGAGGCTGGGGTTTCTTAGTGGAAATTTTATATGTAGTCTATAGAGACCAGGTCTTGTAAAGATCTGTTGGAGATTGGACTGTTTTGAGATATGAATCGGATAAAATATTTTAGGAAAAAACGGAAATCGGACATATCTGAAGACCGGAAGTGAATTGTGAAAATTTGAGAAAAAAAACTTCTGGGTATATTTTTATTCTCTATCAACCCTGATAATTTCAAGAAAATCCCTCCAGCCATCTCCGAGAAATCCTTCCGACATGGAAAGGGGATAATAATAATGATATTAGAAGAAACCAGACTTTTGTTGCCATGGTAACAAAAAGGTCTTTCGTTTTCTTTACTAATCTGTAAGAATTAGGTTTTTTTTGTTTTTTTGTTTTTTTGTTTTTTTTTTTGTTTTTTTTTTGTTAAAAAAACATACACATAATATTTACCAAAATTATTAACTGAGAAAGAAATAAATAAACAGAATTCTCTTTGTAAGGTCTGGAAAATAAACGATCCAAAGTGTATTTTATAAAGATTCTCGACGTTACTCTAGACATTTTTAGTCTTAATAACATATGTAAAAACATTTCAAATACCTTGTCTGTAAGCGATATTCCTGGGAAAGTTAAATGCCCAAATTAAAGATTTTATCTCTCATTACCGGAAGTTGGCGTTTTAGTTTCCGGTTGGACCAACTGATGCAAGCAAATATTCAAAAAAAAGATTGATTGATTGATTCTTGTTTAATAAGCCTATCGAAAAATGTTCCCTCATAAGACGTCACCACTTGCCGTTGGAGAGATACAAATTTTGTCCTGTACTCGGCACTTAGGGCGATTGAACTATGAGGGATTTTTTTCATGCCAGCACCTACTGCGAAAGGGGACATCAGTTTATACGGTCTTATCCGAAGGACCGGTCTCCACGTCCCACAGTGGGATTCGAACCTGCGACTTAAGAATCAACTCCTTACTTCGCGACTCTACACAACAGACGCTCTAACCACTGCTCCACACCGGTGACTCAAATTTTTGAAGCACGTGTCATCAATGCCATATCATCCTAGCAATGCCAGGAGCTCTGAGACAACATAACGGCAAGTACAACACAACGGCAGTGCGTTGACTCGGGCCTCTGGTATTCCGAATATCATATAGACAAATCGAACTCAATTTTTTTTTTATCATGCAATCAGTTGTCTAAAATATGTTGTAAGACAGTGATTTGAATTTTCAAAAAGTTTCCATACAAGGGCTTCACCCTTGAAAGACTTCCTGTTTGCTCTAGAAACAGAAATAAAAACTCTATTTAACTTAGAAAATTTACCCCCTCCCCACCACTTTAAGGACAATATAGGTAGATGGAAGACTATAGCAAGTTACTTTGCCTTTTAAGATTTTTATCTCAGATCGTAAGAGGTCATCATGCTTTGATTTTATAAAGGATTGATAGAATCTGAAAACAATTATATACTCGTAATCACATATGATTTGTGACGTTGATTTTCGGCTTAAAGGAACATTAACACAGTTTCGATTGAATTTTTTACCCGAATTTTAATATTTACAATTCCTAATTAAGGCAATCATAATGATCAGCCAGTATTTGAACACCATTTGTTGATTGACAAAGAAGATACAGAACTTAAAATTCTTCATATTGTAAGCAAAGTTTGTGCTTTGTGTTTGTTTATATTTTAAAATATCACATTTATAACGAAACAAGATTCAGAAAATCACAAATAAAAAATAAAAATAAATCTGTTAACATAACAAAGGTTTGGAACTCTAAATCTGTCTTGTTTCTCGACAACTGATATTTAAGCAATGAATCATTATTTTTTGAGTGATATAGTTTCATAACTGCAACGGTGTGTGCAAACAAATTGAATAACGCGCGTTAGCGCGTAATGAAAATTTGTTTGCACACACCGTTGCAGTTATCCAACTATATCACTCAAAAAATAATGATTCATTGCTTATATTTACATTTTTAAAAACTTTCTACCTTAACTGCAAATGTAATTCTATTTAAAAACCTATGTATTATCCTTCGTGTAAGATACATTTAATGGATCAGCCAGCGTAACAGCTTCTTGTCAATTTGAACGTGATTTTTTGATTTTCGCTTGTGACGTTGCACTTCCTCAGCGTTCAACGATTATGACGTTAAACTAAAACGCATGTTTTAACCTCTTGGCACCCTGTCTGTGTTATGGTGTTTTAAATGCAATAGATTTCTATTCATTTTACATGCAAAAAATATACGTAATGTAAATATTCTGATTTTTAATGATCATTAGAAATTCCTAAATAAAGTATTTGTAAACACAAAAAAATGGAAAAATAAATTTGAAATTTTTTTTTGCTGTAACTGTGTCCATGTCCGTTTAAGTTAGAAAAAAAACATTAATAAAACGAACATTGATCAAGCTCAAACTTCCACTGGTGCATTAAAATTAGGTGCAGAGCAAAGATGGACTTCTAAAACATCATGCAGCGGGATTAGCAATCGATGTGATCAGTTGCCATGGAGAAATAAGCATCTCCTTGCCGACTGGCCACAGCCACCCCTTATCATTGACTGGGATAACAGACATATCCGAAGACATTTCAGTGTGAAAATGATGGCCTAATAATTTGTATGAAAAAGTCAACATCTGTCTTCACGATAGATTATATTCGCTGATAATGTCATTATAATAACCATGGAGTTTGCAAAATGTTGACTTTAAGCGGGAATTTTAATATCCTTGTCATGAACTCATTTGTTAGTAGCTTGACTAAGTAACACTCTGATTGGAAAAGATCGAGTGCATTTTATACTGAATTAAACAACCTCTACTTACTATATATGTTATATCACGAAAGATTCCTGCATGGAGTTATAAGCATAATTGCAGGAATGAAACACATGCCATTCAGTGGTCACCAAGATTTTATTGCACTTTATATCCAAAGTTGTCTACTGTATCAAATGCTTTGTACAGAAATGACCACCGTATTTCAAGAAAATCTCAAATTTTAATCCATCAATAAGTTCCTGCTTCAGTTGATCACTTTAGTGTCACTTTCGAAATATTGCCCACAAAAGTAACCCTTTACCAGGTTATTTTGTAGGGTTTTCACGACAGTTAGAAAGGCCAGTTAGCTAGGTCTTTATCAAAGCAATATGGCCTTTTAAGAAATGCAATGATGTTTTTCTTTGACACATAACCCAGGTTTTGATACAGACAGACTTTTTTATTGTTATAAGTAATGTACATTGATAGAATTGAACTTACAATACTTTAAGGAGAACCATATATTTAATTGTTTCCACAAATTTAAAAAGTGTAAAAATATTATTTTTTGCGCTGCCTGTTATGATATTAAAGAAGGAATTATTCAAGACTAATTCTTTAATTTGCTTTAATACACAAAGTTTTTTGTAAAGATCGAAATAAAGCAGAACAGTAATAATTGCTTATGCCACGTCAGTATGCAAATTTGCTGATAGAATTCTTAGAAAGATAAAAAAAAAAGTTGGATTCCTAATAAGAAAAAAAAATAATACCACTCCTCAAAATCAAAGCAAATTTAGAAATTCAAGCATTCAAGGTGATTCTTGATGTTTAAAATATTCCACTGGGGCATCGGTAATGTTTTCTTACAAAAAGTCAACAGGCTGCATTTTTATATTGCCAAAAATTAAAATGTGAATTAAATACTTCTGACTAATACATATACATGTATTATTATAAGACAATTAATTCGGTCATGAAATGAATATTTCTTTTAATTCTGATTTTTAGGTTCATGAAAAATAAATCGTTGTGAACATATATCTATTTTTGATTAAGGGGGAAGTTAAAGTGAAAGTTGGAAAATCCAAAATGTTATAAATAAAACGTTAAAAAGAATCTATATGTGCCATGGAGGCCGTTGATCTACTGAAAGGGGCAGTTTCGACGATTGATACAGCGGTCACAGTTTTGGGTTTGGAGAAGAAAGGAGAGGGCAATAGTGCAGAGGTAGTGAAGCAGGAGGTCACATCCATACCAAAGGAAGCATTCATTCCAATACAGAAATCAATGGTTTTCCTCAGAATCAGCGGGCTGTCTGGTGCCATGGCTGTAGCGATGGCAATGTATGGAACTCATGGTATAAATCGTATTCTACACAAATACTTTGCTCTTTTTATTTTACCTATATACATCTATTTTATGCGAAACAGATTAAGCCAAATATTGATGTTAAACTAATATATATTTTGTTTCCAATCTTGGAGCACTAAGGAATAAATAAACAGATATATTACCTAATTAATGTCTTATTTGCAAAGAAATTCATCGGATGAGTATAGAATACATTGTTTTAAAGAGAGTTGAATTAAATAAATTACATTGAGCTTAAAAAGATGTAGGAGAGGTGGCGTGAAAATGACCAGTCATATAGAGTTTTTCAGTTTATCAGTTAAGCTTTTTTTCTTCTTTTTTAGCAGCTTTTAAAAATCAAGATAAAAACTGGAAGCAATTACAAAAGGTTAGTATTATAAAATTTTATCTTCTTTTAATTGCTTTTTTAAATACAACATTAAGCAAAATTACAAAAGCTTTTAAACTGTTGTATAGAAAAAGTTTAATGTTATAAAAGAAGAAATAACAGTGTTTTCATAAGTTGTAGAAACTAAATATGAAGATTACGAACACTTTTCACTCTCGAAAGTCCAATGAATCAATACAAATTTGGAGCAGAGCAAACACAGACCTCAAAATTGAGAGGTGGGATCAGGTGCCATGGAGAAATGAGTATCCCCTGTCGATAGGTCACAACGATTGAGTGCTCGTTGTCATGATAAGGAAAAATGGAAAAATCCGTAGACAGTTCAGTTTATTAATGATGGCTAAACAGTAAATATGAAAATCATCAGTCAGTACTTGACGCAATGATAGGTTGTATTTCCTGACAAGGTCATTATATCGACCATAGAACTTACGAAATGATGGCTTTAAACGATACTGCTGATATTCTTGTTTCAGCAATTTGTCTGTAAATAATTTACCTGGTTTTTCATATTGTGCTTACGTAGAGCATGCTCTTACCTATAGAATCAACTGAAGATATATAAAACCATATGCAGGTGACAAGAGTATATTGCTGCATAAGTAAGGGAAGTTGACGACTGAAGAGTTAAAGACATCCCGTTTATCATAGAGCTTGGATGTTAGATTACCAATAACGTCTTTTTTAAATACAATATTTAAATATGAAACAGACGTGTCTTACTCTGAGGTATCTTTTATGAAATGAAATTCAAAGTATTAAATATATATATATAACATGTAATAATATGCACTTAATGAAGTATTAAATATATAAGATATGTACATGTAATACTATTGATATTTTATTTATTACAAAAATACTATGTAATATCAGTTGCTTTTCAATAACATTTCAATTGTTTTACATAATATACATATATATTAACGATATTTTTCACCACTACCTCCCCATTTTTTTAAATCACAAAACAAATGCTAAATTCTTCTCTTTTTCAAAATGTCATATTCATATTTACTGACAAATAGGTGATTGGCTTGATGAAAATTATCAGTTTGTTTCTAATCATTATAAAAATTGGTAATTTTCTATTTTTGTTAAATTTTATAAAATTATTGTTAAACACAAATTTATCATTATATATATTTTTTTTACTTTGTACCAAAAAATTGAAAATGATAAATAAAAAAATTTGTTTTAATGTTTTTAATAATTTCAAAAAATGAAAATTAAAATTTGTGTAATTTTATAACTTACATTTGCAAAGTAATTGCAATTTAATTTATTACATGTCTTATGAAGCTTTTTTTTTTCAATTTAATCGAAGAAAAATTTTAAGTAATTTTAATTTCATTACTTTTTAAAGTATGTAATTGACTCCATCCCTGATATCATTACACGACCTTTTCATGATGTTATGATATGTAAAAATAAGTACAAAGCGAGATGCTGCATATAACAAATTGTTTTATAAAAATATTGTAAAAGAGAAATAGCCTTTGTGTCCATCACCTGGAAATTGCAGATATTCTATTTTCAATCTAGTATCTTTGTTACTATATATAAGAGTGACGAAAACCTTAATAAATTCAAATTATTTTTCAAATTAATTTCAAATTATGTTTGGCATCCTACAAGTATTTTTAAGTTCAGATTGAAAATACAAGTTGATAAAGTCGGTAGTCTAGTGGTTAAGGTGCCGGACTCCAAACTGAGAGGTTGTGATTTCTAATTCTGGCCCCGGTAAGTCGATGTTGTGTCCTTAGTAAAGGCACTTTACACGAATTTCCTCACTCCATCCAAGTGTAAAAGGGGTACCTGGCTATAGACAGTGAAAGATATTGTCAGAATGTTAGTGTTCTAGCGCCTTAACAGCAGTTTGCACTGAGAAAGATTCTGAATTGTTATGGTCTGCTGGGGTAATAATGTATTGTAAAGCGCTTTGAGTAGCATATATGCTAGAAAAAGCGCTATATAAAAACTAATTAATCTTTATTATTATATGTCTATAATTATGACGTAATTATAAAGAGAGTATCATAAAGTTAAAGTAATGTAACTGATCAACGAAAATTTTTATTTCTTTGAAATTCCCAAATTAGAATATATTCAAACACTTTAACACTCATCACAAATTAGTTATTTGAATATACCATTATTTTCATTGTCATACATTATATGTGTATTAAATTAATGCTATCAATATTTGAACTATTGCGCGCATTCAATGAATATCGGTGTTAAATAATGATATAATCTTTAATTTAATGTAAAGTTTTTATAAATTAAATCAATGAATACATGCAATAATTCAAAATTTATGATATCATACTTCTTTTCACATATGATCAGTAATTCTTTCCGAATTGATTTTTAGACTAAACTTATTAACTTTGTACTAATTGTACTTCTTTATTAGCTGACCTGTTTCTATATTTCTGTGAAGCACACTTAAAAAAAGATTCTACATTCTTGTAGTGGCCTTCAATTCGATATATATTTAGATATTTCAACGATGTATTATCAATTAACAATTATAATAAATAGTTCTTTTTATTTATTTGTTGACTAAATAATGAATTTGAAATAAAAGATATCACAAAGTCTTCCAATTCATCTTATTTAGATGCTTTACCGACTATAGACGTGAAAAACGAGATGACTTCATCTTTTCTATCGTCAACTTTCCTTATTTTCCTAATGATATTCCACTATTACGTGCTTATGGTGTCCATGAAATATATAGAGATTACAAACAGTATTCAAGATCTAAAGTCCGTTAAACAATAGGAAATAGGAACAGAGCAAACACGGACCTCCAAAACATCAGAGGTGGAATCAGGTGCCATGGAGAATTGAGCATCCCCTACCGACCTGTCATATTCGCCATGTGCTCTTTGTCATTATCGGGAAAATCCGTCGTCAACTCAATGTATAAATAATGGAACAACAATAAGTATAAAAAGTTTGTATTTTCTGACAAAATCATTGCATCGAACATAAAACTTACTAAATTATGACTTTAAACGAGATTGCTGAAATTCTTGTTTCATCAACTTGTTTGTCAATTATTTACCTCGTTTTAGAAATTATTCTTGGATAGAGCATTCTCTTGCGTATCGAATGAACTGAAACTCCTGTGTCTTACAACTTATTTGCAAGAGTTTGCTATAGAGACGGTCAGTTTTTAAACCGAGACATGCTGCTCACTGATATATTCATGCTACAGAGATTTCAACAACCTCTTTTAAAGTCGGAATTTCATAATTTCAGAATTCTGTGGTCGTTATAGTGCTCTTGTGGGAAAGTTAAATCTATATATGTTTGGGTCGTAATTTGGCTGACTTGTATCAGACCAATTGAAAGGCCTTAGTTTATACGGAATTGACTACGGAATGTTCCGTCTATCTTATCAATACAAAGGGTTGGAGGCGGGTGGGACCAGTCAACAGGGGATGCTTATTCCTCCTAGGCACATGATGCCACCTCTGGAAATTCCAGGGGTCCTTGTTTATGTCCTCCTCAAAATCTGTTTATTTTTAAGCGATTTGTACATTTCAATTTTTCAATTTTAAATTGTACTTGTCCTATTATTACAATATTACAGAGAAGACATAAACGTTTTAATGGTAGTCTTTTAAGGTTGTATACACGTCATCTTGTTTAAAAATCCTTTAAATTATAATCAACGTCTTCTTCTCTCTTGTTTGTAGATCTACGAGAATGGGTACAAAATGCAATTGGTGCATTCTGTAGCACTTGCGTGCGCAGACATTTGCAACAAACCCTTGGTAAGTACACACAATGCATTGATCAAAGGAAGTAATCTACCAGCTACTATCTAGATGATTCTACTCACATTCAGTTTTTACCAATAAAAATAAAAGGCTGACTACTTCAACCTTGGATTTGATAAACGGTATATAAATAAAGAAATATATATACTAGTAGATATTATTAAATAATTTCTACAATCCCTGTTGATTCACCATAACCGTTGCACTATGTAAAACAAAAAATCTGTTTTCTGAATAAAAGCATGGCTATAAGTTATTTTACAAATGGAAAGTATCACCATCAAATGTTAAAGCAATATGAGCTGCATTTTTGAGAATTTTATTTTGCTAGTAAAATGTGTTACTATGATTAATTTGTATGTAATTGTAATTTAAACCCTTTTGACGAATAACCCCCCCCCCAATTTAAAAGTTTCAGAAGAAGTATTTCTGTACAGCATATTATACAGTATTGTATAAGAAATCATTATTGTACAGGACGACAATAATACAATTTTGCTTCAATGAAAGCCAATAAAAAAATTTTCACCGCAAACTTTAATTTGCATTTAGCGTTTATGATTTTTAGGGGAAAAAAATTATATAACAAAATTACATAATTTCAGTATAAACGTGTATCTTTTTATCTTATGGAACATTATTTGATAGAAATAGCGTTTTGGTTTGAAAATAATCATCATATATTCCAGTAAGAGTTACACGTAGGTTTCTTATAAGAGACTCTTTGAACCTTCTGGGCTGCATGACAAATAAAACTGAGAACTTGAACAAAAAGACCCTACATAAGAAATGGAACTTTCTGATTTCACCTGGATGTAAGGTTCATTTCACTTTGCTTTTTGAAATTAATTTTAACAATTTCACTAGTGTTTGATTATATTTTATAGACTGGCAGTTTGTTTACCCTGGGTATCCTACTGTATTCCGGTAGCTGTTATGCCCATGGCTTAAGTGGTAACACAAAGTTTAGATTCATCACCTATTTTGGAGAAGCTGTTCTTATTTCTGCCTGGTTCAGCATGTTGATTAATTAAAAATGTGAACGATATAAAACCAATCTAATTAAAATTAGATGTTAGATCCGTTCGCATACTCGCTACACTAACATCTAACAACATCCCATAGAGGGTCACGTCAGAGGTCAAATTCGGAACCACTCTAGACTTATTCGCTTCACCAATATTCGATGATATTGCAGGTGACGAATTGATTGGTTGATAGAATTTGACCTCTGACGTGACCCTCGATGGGATGTTCTTAGATGTTAGTGTAGTGAGTACGCGAGTGGATCTAACATCTAATTTTAATTAGATTGATATAAAACAGTCATATGTGAACATATCTTTGACTTCTTTTTTAATTTATTTAAAGAACTGTTCTGTATTTAGTTATATACGAAATTTTTCCATAAATTTTAGTACATATGTTTTTGTTTATTTTTCAATTTTTCAATTAAATTTTTATAACTACCATAAAATTATTGAAACACTTGTCATCAATGTCACACCATCCTTGCAATGCCAGGGGTCCTGAGTCAAAATTATTTTGTTAAATCACATTATGATTGCACACACAAGTACTTTTCATACTAATAACTAGTTCATTATTTATACACTGAATTGACGAAGGATTTTTCCGTTATTCCTCGATCATGACAAGGAGCACACTGCGGGTGTGACCGGTCAGCAGGGGATGGTCATTCCTCCATGGCACCTGATCCCACCACAAATGTTTTAGAGGTCCGTGTTAGCTCTGCTCTTATTTTGTATTGTTTTATGGACTTTGAGACTGAATACTGTTCGTTATCTTCATATCCTTCAACACGTTGCCATTGTTTGCATTGCGAGGGTGTTGTCATATAGACAAATTGAAATCATAAATTTTTATTTCATGCAATTAGTCATCTAAAAAATACCGTTAAGTACTCTGAAGATAATGCTTGATTTCGTCATGGCAATATCTATGTATTTTTGGAAGTCGACCATATCTTCTACCTAACTGTTTGACTGACTGGTCGTATGTGTTTTATGGCCTGTTCGAGGTTTTTCACTCATAAAGAGACTTCAACTACGGTATGTACCGGTGAAGGGCTTCATCCTTAAAAGAATTCATGTTTGCTCAGGAAACATAAATAAAAATCCAATTTAACTTTAATTTACCCACCCCCCTTGAAGACAGCATACGTAGATGGAAGACTAACAAGTGATTTTGCCTTTTAACATTTTCACCTCCAAATTATATGAAGTCATCAATCATGCTTTGCTTTTATTCAGGATTGATAGAATATGGAATTAGTATCACATATGAATTTGTGACGTTGACTTTTGGTTAAAGTTATAAAAATATTAGGATAACAAAAAGTGATCAAGATCAAAATTGCACTGGAATAATAAGGAGCAGAATCAAGATGAACCTCTAAAAACACACGTGGGATCATCAATCGTTAGGATCAGGTGCCATGGAGGAAAAAGCATCCCCTTCCGACTGAAAATTCAGTGTGAAACTAATGACCAAATAATTTGTATGAAAAAGTCATTTGTCTAAACGATAGATTGTATTTGCTGTAAAGGTCATTATAGGAGGGGTGATAAAAAAGTTTGCGAACTAATGAATAACTTCCAAAAAAGAGATGATATAGAACATTTGAATGACTCTATGTGTGCCAAATTTCATTTTCCTCTGAATTGTGGTTTTATAAATATATAGTCATTTGTCTCGATAACTTTTTGAAAATGTCAATATATAATGATGAGTCTGCAAAACAGAGTTGCGAAACGTTGACTTTAAACGCGACATTTAATATCCTTGTCATGAACTCATTCGTTAGTAGCTTGGGTACTTTTGTTATTAGTTTGAAACATGTTTTCGCGTATCGAATCAACTGAGAGACATAAACTTCAAATACAGGTGATAGTGGACATAGAAAGTTGACGAGAATAAAGTTGAATTCATAAGTTTTATCAAATTTTGATTTGAGTTTGTCATTCATAATATACCTGGTATACAAATGTGAAACAGATGTGTCAAACTTTGTAGATTGTTATTCTTATTTCGAGTACGTCGAAGGAAGACATCAAATGAACGTAGGAATGAAAATTAAATACCTGGGTATTATGAATTAATCACACGTCGTCACAGCAAGAGCCTTTTTCTTTTCATGTAGAAAATATTTGAGTAAATTCTATTTCCAATGAATACAGAATTAGGCCTTTTACTAAAGAGATATAATCATAATTGATGGGAATTCCAGCAAATTGTTGAAAGAATTAATTGATCTCCCAAAAACTCAAAAGATTATAATTGTTCAAGAATTATTCTCTGTTAATTGTTATATGGCACAAAATAAAGTACTAGAGGTAACTGGTCAAAAAAGTAGTTAACCTTTTCAAATTCAAAGCTATGTTAACGGTAGAAAAAGAGTATAACATATGCCGAGTTATTTTGCCTAATATTGTCCATGGATGGTTTCCTTGTTTAGATGAGGAAGTCCCTGTGTATATTTAGCAATTTTTCCGCTGGTCGATTAGAATAAAACTTTGCTTGGAGTTCTTGTAGAAAACAATTTGCAAATAAACAATATCGAATTCAAATTAACTTTCGTGAGCTGTTCTTTTTGTAAAATCTTCAATTTGCAAAAGATTGACGTGCATTTTATACTGTAGTTAGACAACTTCTCCTTACTATCATAATATAATTATGTTATATCAGGATAAATTCCTGCATGGAGTTATAATTTCGCATACTTGCAGGAATAAAACACCACATGCTATTCAATGGTCACCAAGATGCAAATGCACTTTATATCCAAAGTTGTCTTCTGAATCCACAGTATTCCAGTGCTTTAATTTGTACAGAAATGACCATCGTATTTCATGAAAAATCTTGTATTTAAATCCATCAATGAGTTCATATTTCAGCTTATCCCTTCAGTTTCCCCTTTCCTTGCAACTACGGCATACAAAAAGTAGCCCTTTACAAAGTAATTTTGGCAGGTTTCCCCAACAGCTAGAAAGCCCAGTTAGCAAGGTCTAAGTCAAGGCAATAAGACCCTTTTAAACTGAATGCCCTTGGTTTTATATGTTGCTATTTTAGGTTTTTCTCACATCACAAACTTGGGTTAGTAGTTTTTGACAGCATTCTTAGTTTACAAGCAGTGCTATGTTTTAACCTTTAATACAGAAATAACACATCATCTGATACAGACATAGACTTGTTTATTGTTACAAGTAATGCACATTTATAGAATTGAGCTTACAATACATTGATGACGTAGGCGCTACTGGAGATCACAACCGTTACCATGACAACCTAAAATAGTAACTATGGAGATTTAGTTTTTTTTTCAAATACTAGAATTTTAGAATGGTATCGAACAACTTTAAAATTTCCAGAAAGAGAGTGGTAACTTTAGAATGAGGTAAATAATTCTTAATTTAGTCAATTATATTATTATTATTTTTTATTACAAGTCATTTTTGATCTCCAGTAGACTTTACCAAGATGCAAAATAAATAAGATTGACTGAAGAATTAAAGCTTGTTTCTTATGCCATTGGGTAAAAACAGACAGTTTTAGGTTTCACTCCAAATACTTTCAGATGTTACAGCAATCAATGCAAATTATTAGCACAGGCAAATCAATTTTAAAATGGTGAACTTTACACATCACTATTGAATGTATAAATAGTGAAAGTATAAGTTCACTCCCAGAATGTTATAAAAATAGCTAAAAATTAAACTGGTTGAACGAAGACTCCATGCTTTAGTAAGTTCACATACAGCATTCCGTAAATTTTAATTTTAAAAAATTGCGGAATGTTAAAATGTGATTACATATTACAAATACAAAATGTAATACTGAATATGCATTGTAAAAAATAAATGAGATACTAGTATACACAAAATGCCTGAAGGTAAAAGATTTCCCCCAGACATTTATTAACTAATCTCATAATGCATGCATGACAAATTATAAAACAATTAATAAATAAATGAATTTATATGGCAAACATATCTAGGACTAGTTAGGGGTATTAATGAGCTATAACGTTACCATGACACTATAAACGCAGTGCAACTACGTGGCATATAAAATATGTATAGACCTATACACAGTGAACGACAAGTCCAGCTAAAATTTATACAAATGTTCGCATTACTTTTTTTTCATATACATGTATATGTAAGCGCTTAACATACTGTTTTTATTACAACACTTTGGCATTTAAAATATGCAAATATTTTCCATAATTTATCTACAATACGAACCAACACACAGTTCTACATACTAATTAATTAGTCAAACAAAACAAAAAAATTCAAATTAAAAAAAGAAAAGATTTAAAAACAAACTAAAGTCCTTTATTTTTGACTAAACGTTTCTTGGGAGTACATAGATGATTCTATTTTAAGGTACATATAAATTATACAGAACTGAACAGAAAAGTAAGTACAACCTTTTGCATTGCTGGCACAATTTCACTAACACGATTTCAAGTGGAATATACGAATCTCAAAAGAGACGTTCAATTGCCTTCAATTTTGAAATGTTTCACAAAAATTTTCACGCGAGTTCTCATTTACCTATATTGTTTATTTTTTAACCTAAACTATACTAAGTATCACAACGAAATCTTTTGCTTTTCACATCTTAAAGATGCATCATAAACGCCTTCCTTAACACTAAATTTACGATATCTAACAAAAGTTTTATTAAAAAGGGTACCTGCATGGTAGTAAAAATGATGCATTAAATTTACAAACATGAATATAAACAAAATTTGAAGACGCATCAGTATAAAAAAAAGAAGAGCGCAAATATCTTGATAAAAAATAACTTCAAGGCAGCCAATGTATGGTTTAGCTCATCACAATACGAAACAACACATCATCCATTTACAATGGACTCTGAGCGAAAAAGTAGGCGTAAATGAAGGCATAAACTGGTTAACTAATGACTTTTGTACAAAAACGAAGTTCCAAGCCAACGTTAAAGGTGAACGTTTCTATGAACTGCGTGTATTTCCTTCAATTTGAAAAACTGGAAACAATATCAAAAGCTGAAAATTATGAAGTAAATGAGTATTCTGATATAAGCTTGATTATTTCTTTTCGTGACACTATAAGCCGGTATAATATACAGTCAAACCTGGATTACCAGTGTCAAGTTAAATTGTTGATCTTTTTAATCCAGATTTGAAGGTATCACTACCCTAGACGTTTTTTTTTTTACACAGATTAATATTGCACTTCTGTCATAAATGTATATAGTTTGGTGTGACAAAAACAGGATTTCATTGAAAAAATGAAGTGAATATTTTTTTATGACATTTATGGCTAAGTAATGAATTATGACAGGGAAAAGCCCCTCATTTTCATAGCACTTGGTTTTGATATTTGAAATTCCCTCCAAACTTTTTGTACTTGTTTTATAAACATATATTTTCTCTTTTTTCATCATAAATTGGTCCTTCAAGATTTATTTTGAGTCGGTGTCACGTGAAAGAAAAAAATAAAAACATCATTCATATTTTTTAAACCCATGACTAGGCCTTTTTCATAATAATCTCCCACACTTTGTGTCAATTTTTTTTTCCTACTCCATCTTCTTTCTTTTAACTAATCCCCGCCAGGTCTTAATCCATTCCTCACAACATTTCTCAAAATCATGTGGGATTTTATCAAAAATATGTCATGGCAATATGATACATGTTAGAAGTCAATTGTAAATAGAAATCTATCCTGATTCACGTCTATTTTGCGGTTTCCTCGGTTTTAGGTTCTGATTGTTCCTCCTTCTTTTCCTCTGTCTTTGTTTCCTCTTTCTTTTCCTCTTCGCCTTCCTTTTTCTCTTCTTTAACGTCTTCTATTTTTTCCGACTTTTCCTCCTCTTTTCCTTCCTGAAATAATAATTCGTAATACGAGTTATCTCTCTTTGCTTGTAAATTTTGAACTATCCCCTTCCCCCTTAAACTGCAGTAAAATATTCAGCAGTAAGGAAAAGAATATAAACATCAATGGTAGTAAGTATACTCCGACATTTGATAACAATGTAGCCTTATGTGTTTCACATTCTATTTTAAAGTTGGCCCTTGAATTATTTTTATGCGGTATTAAACCCACCTTTTTCAGATCATCTTCATTTTTGTCTTCATCTTTCACATCGCCGTTTTCTTTAGGCTTCTCCTCGCCCTCATTTTCCTGACCCTCCTCCTTCTTCTCCCCCTCCTCTCCCCCCTCGGGTTCTCCGCTGCCGGGGCCTTTGAATTTCTTCGTTTTCTTGACCAGACCAGCATCAATTAAACTGTAGGCCATGTCAATCAATGTGTCCTTAAGCTCAGTAGGGGTAATTTGAAGGACATCCTTCATCTGCATAAAATTATTAATTAATTTAGTTCGGCATTCTTTTCAAATTTTGATTCATTCGATGGATGAATCTTAAACTTGCGTGTTTTGTGACGCTATCTAGAAATATTTTTAACATCAATTTTTCTGCATATTAATTTATTTTTTTTAATGAAACCTTACCCTCGTGGTATCAAATTTGAAGACTTTTCCGACATCCGGCATGATCATTTTAATGGTCTTGTCGAACCAGCTGCACATATGAAGGATGGCATTAGGACAGTTTGTTGTGGGAACATTGTATCCTGAAAAAAAAGTATTCCTTTAAAACGAGTTATCTTTCTTTGGTCATGGGATTGCTTCATTTGCATGATTTAATCAATAGAGAGAGAGAGAGAGAGAGAGATTTGAAACTTGAAAACTTTTATTTGTAAACAATTACAATTTTTCAGCCGCCAATATTCAAAGAGAAACTTTTTACAGTCGCTCGTACGTGAAACCATTTTTAAGAAGGTGATAATTCTGGCGTAAATCACAGCCAAATATATAGGATGAAATTTAATTTCTACAGATGTGCAGTTTTTGTGCGCAGGTTGAGATGAGACATACATGTATATCTGGGCACAAGGATGTAAAGAGAAATCCAAAGAATTTGAAGTTAAAAGCAATAGGCCAAAAACTTAAACCCTTTTTATTATCACTTAAGTCAGCTAAATGTTTCCCCCAAACTAATACACATGTCACGTATCATCTTTATCATTTAAACAAGTGTTTTTAAAAAACGTAACTTCCTTAATGGCCCTTTTTTCAAATAAAATTCTTTATTGTCATTCGCCCTCTAATACAAAAGATATAAGATACCAAAGTAAACAAAACCCAATGCGGAATATTTTTTTTTTGCTCAATTTACACGTTTGTATTTTACAGACATGACCTACATTGTTGGACTTTTAGCTATTTTTTAACTAAACTTTCATTTATTAAACAAAATATTTTGAATAAAACGTAATTTCAAGAGAATGTATAAATTCATATTTGTAATCCACCTTCAAATCACCAAATAAAATTAATTGCCTATTGTACCCCCCCCCCCTCTCTCCCACTCCATTCCATGAGCTATTCAATGAAGATATTTATATTTAAATATACATGCACTGTATATATAATGTTTGCTGTCAAAACTGTGTCTCTTTAATAATTAAGAGTTTATAGACCGATTTCCATGATAAAAAATTCCTTATTTCCCTCTCAATGTAATTTACACGAGATAATAAAAATTATCAAATCATAAAATTTCCATAAAATGAAATAAATATTCAAGCATAGAATCGGACCATTTCATGATCGTTGGTTTTCCTCAATGCCTTCACTGTGAGTGTCGTTATCACTGATTCAGATCATATTAATTCATCAAAGAGGTTGTTTTTTCATGACGTTGGTATTTTTAAAACCCCGATAAATTAAGAGAAATATTGCATTCTCGTTACGTGGGCGATCTTGCGTCTTTTCATACTCATGAATGCCAAATTTTAACAGACATTTTATATTTATCCATGTCGACTTTTTTTTTTTTTTTTTTTTTTTTTTTGCACAAAAATATGAATCACAACATTGCTGAAAGATTGAAAGACGAGGAAAATTAAGTTTTAAGAAAACGTAGGAAGTGATAAGATTTGTGCATCATTCCTGTTAAATTAGCTCCTCCAGTTTTCTATGGACGTTTATATCTGTATTTACAGTCACGACTTAGAATGCGTGCATGTATATAAAATCCAATATAACTATTTTCCTGCTTCTTGAATTACAAAATACAAAAAGGAAACATTTAAAGCTCAAGAGTTGATAAATATGCAGACAAACACTTGCTGTCTCTAAGAAACAAATAACTTACACCAGGCATACAATCTAACCATTTTAGTATAGCGAATATTGTCACTCATAATGCGCATAAAATCCTTTGCTTTATTTTTAAACCAATACATGTACTAGCTTGCTATAGATACCTTGATGTTTGAATTCCTTTGACAGAATTAGTGCCATTTCTTTCATCCAAACATTTGAGTTTACTACAAGGTGTCTTTTGCCTGAAAAAGAAATTATTGATTGGAATATAATTCAATAATTAATTAGAATCCTCTGTACTTATCTGAACCATAAAATGTCAAATAAATGTCATTTGTGTTTGATAAGCAGTATTTATATATGTAGCAAGTTAAAAATCATTAATACGTCCCCCTTCAGGCTCCTAAAAATATAGTTTATCTCTACTGTCTGCGTGACGATTAACTTTACCAGCATAACAGAAAATATCATCATGGCTACTAATGCTGGTTGGCAAACAAGTAACATTCTAACATTGACCCACTTTTTCCACATTAAATGTCAACTGTCAGCTAAAAATTCTGAATAAATTCCCAATGCCATTTCTCTCATTGAAGACATGCAACAAGTTACTAATAATTATAAATGAGATATATGTACTTTAAGTTTTTCTTTTTTGTTTCATGTATAATGCCAGTCATTTCAACTACACCATTCGAACCCGTCCCTGTGACGTCATGTAAATGAGACATGCGCATTGCTACTTACCAGCAGCATCGTCTAACGTCATCGCCTTGATATGCGCAGCCGCAACGTCACGAACGTCAACTACGGGAAAGTTGAGCTTGGCAACGAACGGCTTTTCTCGTTCTAAAATACGCTTCACTACCTGTTGAAAAAAAAAGATTTTGCAATTATTATCAATGATCGATGTTTTTTTTTTCAAATTTGTTTGGATTAATATTTTTGCTTTTTTTTATAAACTGCACATATGAGCTTTTTTTCAGATGTAAACTGCAAAATTATCGTAATTTCTAAACAGTGTTCACAAATAGCTTTTTTTCTTTAACATTTTTTTAGTGTAACAGATGGAACAAAATTTCAAATAATAATAAAAATGTTCAAAGGAGTTTGTTTTTAGAGCCCTCTGTTGCATAGAATGCAATTTTTCTGTGACATTTAAATAATTTTACTATAAAGATAAAATAATTAACACAGATGTTTCATTTCCTGTCGAAAATTATGACCTAAATATGCAAAGAATGTCGCTTTCACACACCCCGGCTGGGTAAAATGATATATCACTATCTTGTCCAGGTTTTTTATGCATTGTTTTTGTTTGCTTGACCTACTTACCTCGGAACTAGTAGACATTGACCCATTTATGACGGGGCCCATCACATAACCTGGGTTAATGACAGCCAACTCTATCTTGTCCTCATCTGAGCAAATAAAAAAAGAAAAACACATAAAAACAACGATCTGTCATGCTGTGGAAGAAAGAGATTACAATTACATGGATGCATGTTCAAAACATCGTAAACAAATAATTCAACGTTGCTGCGTGTTGTTATGCAACAAGCATGATTTAGAAAAAAGCGATGCTTTGCCAGTCAGGATGTAGCATTTTGTATTGTATGTTAACTTATGTTTGGAAGGGAAAACTTTAAAAAACAGTTTTTGCACTCAGTAGGAAAAGAGAATGTGATACAAACTGAAAGAACTAGTCAATTAGTTATAAAATTTGTATTAACAGTTAAGGGATATCTTAAAATTATATACGTTTTTAAGAGCAAAAAATCATGATTTTTATTTAATTCTTTGCAAATGATGTACATAAAATCTAGATCTAATTCGTTACTAATTGGATGTTAAGAAATCCCCCGCTTATCATGCAGAAGTTGCTATTTCTTTAATATTTTATTTTTCTACCTGCCTACACTTGTAATGGTATTGACTTTCTTAATGTTTTATTAACCTCGGGCTTGCATATCCGAATGAAACAACAGTCGTGTTCCTTAGTCACAATAGACGACGCTCTGTTACTCCCAGTTTAATAAATGTTTATATACATTGTAGGTAGAGGTAGAGATTATCTGGCAAAATGCCCTCCCAGTCATCTTAAAAACTTAACACTGCAACAAATACCTAACAGCAAAAAAAAAAAAAAAAAAAAAAAAAACGTGAGATAAAAGCGATGGAATAGATGGTGATGTTTATGTGCGAATTATTGCCTAGGATTTGTTTGTCATCTGAACCATCGTGTTAGAAAACCTTTGTTTTAATAATTTATTTTGCTGCTGCATCCTGATTGTTTAATTAAATATAAATAATACAGGTGGTTCACATGCATGGACAAATGTCTTTGATATATCTTTTCAACTAACTTTTCTGTTGAATTTGAAAAGTTAAAACATTTCCTTATTTCAAGTAAAACATTATAATGAAAGATTATTCCAGATAAGTTATTAATTTGCTAATGCATATATTGAAAAAGTGACGCATTGTCGCTAAATAGGCATATCCAAACCCTTTTATTTAACATTATTGCAGAAGACAATATCTAGCTGTCGTCTGCTCTAGAGTCACGTGACATACCCGGAAGTTCTTTGACGTAATCCCAGGCGGCTTTCTCGGCTAACGTCTTACTTTTGCCGTAGGCGTTCAGCTTTTCTGGTTCCATCCAGTCCTCCTCTGTAAAGGTTTTGGTTGTGTCGGCGCCAGGGCCCCCTGAAACGACAATATTGGTGAAAAGATGAATGTCCCTTGTGACAAAAAAAGAATTGGTCTGCTTGCCTTACGAATTTAAAACCATACAGGAAATTAAAAGTCTTTGGTCGGAATCGGCAAACATTTGAATAAACCTATTCTATTTCAAATATCTTTTTTTTATCTCTTTTTATTTTCTCTTAAATGGCTCTAAATGTTTTTCTACAATAAATGAATTGTATTCGGTATATAATTCTTGTTGGATTGAACATATTTCGAAAATTTCGTGCAACAATTAAGTTCTTGATTTCTGAGAATATCAGAATCTGGTGTGGAGAATATTTATGGCCAAGTGCTAGTTGCATCACTTTGTGTGTTTGCGTATGAGCTTATAGCCTGAGGACAAAGGATAAATGGCTCGAACCTTCCACTTAAATGTACTCCGGCAGTGTTTGTCATTGTCTGAAAAAGGACTATCGATTTGTTCCGACGAACTGTCAACTTGCGTCATACTAACCTCTGATTTAGCGTTTTTTTTTACTCAATATCAAGTTGGTTGTTAGATTTTTTCTCCTTAGTGGCGATATTTTATCCAGTTCATTGCTAAAACTTTTGCGATCCATTAAAAACTACAAAATTAAATGAACTACATGTAAAATGCTCAAGAGCAGTGTTCTGTCAAAGTCTTTGGGTTGTTCATGCAAAATGGTAATCGGAAACACGTCATATTTCTTCCACTTCCAGTTCACTTGCAGTTGCACTATTTTACCTCCCGGTTATGTACTCATTGCAACGGTACAATGTATTTCCTGGCCTATATGCACCCTGCAGTTGTAAAACTCATTAGGGTTTGTATAATCTGGGACTTTCATGGACGTTTGTTAATGATTGGTGACAAATAATTATAAGAACTTCAAACGACATCTGAAACGGCTTGCTCTAAAAACTCCAGTAAATGCCAATAAACCTCAAGCACCGTCCAACTTTGTTGTTAAGTGTGTTTGATTTTATGCCTTTATAATATCATTTTCTTGAATGTTTTTCAAAAGAAAATAAAAAAAGATTTCCGGAAAAATTTATGCCTTTGAACTTTGTTTCCTTGACAGCTAAAACATACGGATAAAAAAATAATTAAGCGAAGATCCTTGACCTTCTACCCCAAGAAACTTACTCGAGCTTCCACAATTGACATTAAAAAAAGACTGAAAATTTGAACTGAAATTCAAAACACAACTCACATCCAACAGCAGCACATGAACTGGTGAGGACGACACGCTTGACTGATTTGGCGGCCACGCATGCCTTGAGTACAGCCTGTGTGCCCTCCACGGCTGGCTGAATGAGCTCACTTTCTTCCTTGGGGGACTGGGCAGGGAAGGGACTGGCGACGTGTATAACATATTTAACGTCTTTTACAGCCCTGTAAATATGAAAAAATAAAATATAACTAGAAACGATCTCGTTGCGAGCAACGAGAGGTCTTCCGTCCGATTCCGGAAAAGAAACCAGTAAAATCGAGCTGAAAATTGATTTAAAGATCTTTGGATACTCAGATAATTTAAACGGGTCACGAGCAGTAATATTCAACACGCTATCTATTACGCTATTTGAACCCGTACTATAAATTTACTTGTGTGTATATGCAATTCTGCAACAGTTCATCTGTCATAGAATTATGAAAGGAGAGTTTTAATTCATAATTTTGCGCCAAAAGTCACGAGTAAATCTTGGTACCTTCTCTTTGGAATGTTCTATTAAATAGGTGTGATAGCTTCAATGAAGTAAAAATATAGAACATTCTTATTGCCTAAATTTCGAGGTTTAATTAGCAAGTATATTTAATACATTCTACACATTAAATATCGTATCTATGTAAGTAACACTGAAGCAGTGAAACGACTATGAATTTTTTTAACTTTTTGTAAATTTCCTGTTTATCCCCAAAGTTGACTTTCTCGATTATTTACACTTTTATGAAAGGGTTGGAATGTTACGCCGAAAACATGACTAGGCCTATCACATTCAATTTATGTTCAATGACTTGCATCAGATCTGTGAGAAAAATGTGTATATAAACTCCGTTAAACGCTCCTTTAAAAAAACACTCTTACCTGTGTCTTTTCTGTTAGTTTAATATGTCACAAGTGTGCATGGAATAAAAAATACGGTTACGTTTTATACTCTCTATTTATATTGTTTCATGTAAAAACTTTTACTTATAAATATGTTTTAAGATCTAATTTCCGTTTTGCACAACTAAAGGTTGTAGATGCCGCATTTCATTTGTACATGTAGTCTTTTCTTTTTCTACTTTGATGACACGCCAAAACCAAATATGGTAGACGTTTGAGAAGACCTTGGATAAACACTTTAGTTTAACACAGAATTGCACCGTAACTACTACGTGAAAATCAACGTATTCATTTACATTTCGTTTATCCTTACATATCTTTTGTTCAAGCAAACGCTCAGCTGACTCTTTAACCCCCTACTCGCGAAATGTCGGACTTGACAGAGACAGCCGCCATTTTGGTACCGCTTCAGATTTTGAAATATTAATATTTAGAGTTTACATGCATCAATATTCAAACAAGTTATATAGTAAGCATCAATGAAAAGGTCTCTATTAACATTCTAAAAATAAATGAAAAATATTGAAAAACAAAAAAGTTAGAAAATACGATTTTTTTTCATTCCCATCCGGTAACGACAGAAAGTACTGACGACGAACAAAAAGTCGCGTCCTGGTTAGTATCTATCACGATCTATAATCCCTGAAAGTTTCATGTTGATATCTTTAACCGTTCTTGAGATTATCCGTAGACAAAATGTCATTTTAATTTCAGAAAATGGTCCGTAATTTGGCACCAAAAAGGAATTTCCAAAAAATCGCTCGGATAGATCAAATTCATGTAACAACACATCTTCACTGATAATTTCAAGTAATTCCATCCAGTAGTCTTCGAGAAATCGCGCACACAAAATTAGAAAGTCAAAAAAATAATAAAAAGAATAATAATAATAAGAAACAGTACAATAACTATAAGGTCTTCCGTGAAGACGGAAGACCTTAATTAATTTTCTTTTACAGTCTTGTAAACAAGACATATTACATTATTAACATCTTTTACAGCCCTATAAACAGGAAACACGTGACATATTTAACATCTTTTACAGCCCTGTAAACAGGTAATATAAAAAACCTTGGCAGTTTCAGCTTTATAATTTCATTAAGCTTGAACCAATGTAAACCATAAATACTTCTTGGTGCCTAAGTCAATACAGTATATTTAACAATGGCATGGCCACCATCCAAATTTAATGAACACAAAAGTTTTTTGAAGGAAAATAATTGGGAGTTAATTAAAGCTCGACTTTCATCTTTCTTTGATCAATTCAAGTCTGAATGAAGTGTAAAAACAATACATACGGCTCCCAGGATTCCGGTTTAGTTAGATCCGCCTCTACCAGCTCGAGCTCGTGCTTGGCGTCTGGACAAAGCTCCTTAAGTTTTTTGATCCTCGCCTCGTCTTCCAGACTCCTGAGGGTACCCCTGACGCGGTATCCCTCCTCCTGGAGTTGTTTGACGATGTGGGTGGCGATGAATCCCCCCGCTCCTGTTACCAGCACCACTGGAAAAAATAAATAGCAAATATTAATGGCGCGTTAATCAGTGGACGGATCCAAGAGTTTTTAATGGGTACTTCAGCAGAAAATCTGTAAAACATGGATCTCAAGCTAATTACCGAGAAGATTAATGAGTGAGTTTCGTTTGTTGCATCATCCTAATTTTTCTCCTTAGTAATACCTTTGTGTTTACGTTGGAACTTATCTTTTATTCATTTTATCAGTCCAAGTAACAAATTTTGTATAAAACTGAGTACTCCTCAGTATATAAAAATTTGTACAGTTGAAATTTTACATTTTTCTATAATCCCCTCGACTGGAATTTTGCCATATTAAGTTTCTTACTTATCTGTAATGAATTGATAGTGTCTGTGTATAGATTTTATCTTATATCCACGTGCAAGTTTTCAAACCGCGAAAACACACAACGATGAACATAAAATTCGTACGCAGTCGATGTAACTATGTAACTATGTCAAGATTTCGCATTCCTTGCGGATTCTTTCAAATTAATACCTCGGTACATTTAGTTTAAGAATAACGAACCCATACCAACCCCTTACCCTTGATTGTCTTGAGGGGCGTGGAGAGTAAAATTGATAACCTTTGATGCTCTATTTAGTAGGTTAATATAATGAATTATTAACGACTGCATCGGTTCCCCAAAACGCTTTTGCACAAGAGTGATCAGACGACGTAGAATTGTGTAACGCCAACATAAAACGAAAAAACTTTTTTTTCCAATTCTCTGTCGTCTCCTGAGCGCTGCTTTGCTGCAATATAGATTTTGCAGGTTTTTCTTGCAGCGCTGCATTTTGATCTGCAAACCTCAGTCATCGGCACCAATATAGACTATGAATCACCTCGTGAATTGTGGCGCAGGCATCGAACAATTGGAGACAAATAAAAAAAACATAGGACTCTTGACATGGTTTCTAATCAATTATACTGTAGTCTATAGATATACTTAGTAATTAAAATGAAATGTGTAATTAGAGACACAAACTTTTGCGACAGTTGGGTGACCTCAAGGGACCAAAAGATATCTTTAGGTCGAACACAACTCGCATATAGTAGACATTATTATAGTTAATGGAATCGTTTTTGGTTTATTTCAAATGAAAGAGTCAACATGGTGACAATTACTAAGGAAAAAACTTTCTACGGTTTGAAGGAAAACGAACATGCACTGGCATGTTAAATGCTTAGAGGAAACAAAACTGAAAGAAACTGAAAAATTGCAGCACACATTTGACTGAAAAGACGACTAGACAATTAATTTTATGATAACGATGAACTATAATTCTCTGTCCTGCGAGGAACCAGTTCTTCTAGAAAATTCTGAATCGATCGACCAAGCTAAAAGTTATGTCTCTGTGAATGTCGTAATCTTTTGCATAGGATTCATCGATACAGTGAACCGAACTTAAGGATTTGATTCACGGGCCGGTGATAGAGATGAAAAAATAGTCTTTGTCTGTAATAAAGAAATATTGTTTTCTCTTGTGCTGCAGTACTATTTGCCTTAACAGTCTTATTGCAAGGGATCAGCGCTTTAATCAATACTTATTTATAATATTTACTCTAGAATCACTGCCACAGCTAGACAATATGGCTTCGGCTTCTTTATGATTTAAGATTCTGTCCTGTAATCGGAAAATAATAAACATCAATAATCTTTCCCATTCAAGGTATTTTTGGTTCCTTCAGAGAGAAAGAGAGACAGAGACAGAGAGAGCACTTTAGCTTCTTATAGTTTGGTATAGGATTTGTCACGTGACCTTGGTGTGAATGCTATTCGTAGGCCGTTTAACATTCCCAGGAAATAAATTACTATTCTATAATTGCATCCTCAATCATAAAATTTTGACATTTTGTATGCCATAGTGATATTTAAGTTGGTCAAGTATTTTTCTCTTCTACTACAAGCCTAACTTTCGATTGCTACCGCTTGCAGTTCTAAAGAGGGTTTAAATGTGTTCTTTGTACCCCCTTTCTCATATCATATTTCTCTCTTGACATACTTTGCCTCGACAAAAAAAATTAGACTGATAAAATATCTGAACTGATGTAAAAGACATCAGAAACAAGACAATTTGTTTATTTTTATCTCAAAAAGAGCGAACGGTCCCATAAGGCCATGTTCTGCTACTTCAACACACGAAGAACAGGAAATGGCGCTAAACGTGGCATCATCCAGTTTGGTTTTTGACGTGAAGTATTTGGGACACAACAGCGGTTCTTTGCCATTAGAACTCTTTGCTGGAATGCATTCTATTCGCTTAGATCATTTTAAAGCTTCCTACAGAAATCAATATTCCTAAATATCGCTGCAGTTCTGGATTGCACAGTAATTTCACAGTAAATTTTATTCATTGGGGATACGTTTTATCGTATCTCAGAGACTGCCGTCTGATTTTTCCTATCGACTTTCATTAGAGCATGCCACGGTTTGTTCCACGTCTGAATCTGACATATTTTACTGTAAATCAGCAACAAGTGTTTTTTCACACCTGTAGATATCCTGAAGTTAAATAAAAGTTTTTTTATGATTTCATTCAACTTTGGACACCTGTAGTTTTTCCTTCATGTTTACTTCAGTGCATGTCCGTTTCCTGTGCATGCATCTTTCTTTTTTACTTACAAAATGGAAAAATTTCATTTGCATAAATGCTGTTACATGTCTTAATTTCCTTTTAAAATTTTTGTCTTGTCATAATTTTTACAGACACAAAGAATGTGCATGTTGCGAAAAGTTACCTTAAGTCCTCAAAAAAAATTGATTAACGGAGAAAAATTTAACCTTATATCTAAAATTTTATTACATGTATTATCAAAAAAATCCTGTTGTCGGCATTCACAGTTCTTTCATTCTATAATACAAAGTTATTTTGTGAGCGATAAACAATCTCTCGCTCTTCAACTTTTTTGTCTTTTTTTTTCTCGCTAAGACACTTAACAGAGGATCGAAGTTGAAACATCATTCTTGTAATAGTGACGTTCATGAAAAGAACAACTGCCTACCTCCGGAATGTTTATAGAAGTTTAATTGCAAAGGGTGGCAAAAACTCAAACCAGAAACAATGGTATTTGTTCTTTAAGGGCAACTGGTAAAGAGTTTTCGAGAGTCTCCGGCAAAGCAAGCATCAAAACATGTTTTTCACTACTTAGAAAAACTGTAATTTCAGATATAAAAAATTAATTCCTTCTATATATGAAGGCTCAACAGGTGAAAAAATAATTAATGACTTGGTATTTCGTAAAATGACCTCAACAATCATAAGGTGTCTTAATTAAGATTGTAAAAATATGTCTGGAATTTCCTCTTGGCCTTGTAACATTTAAGCCAATGTTTACATATGTAGATGACAGATGTTTACAGTTTACAAAATACTATGGATCAAATTCGTACATATCTGCCTATAGGGAGGAGAAAAATGTACTGTCTGGTCCTTATTAGTCTCACAATCATTCCACTTTCAATTAACAAGCAATATATGTCTCCAGGAATATCACATTTTGTCGCTCAAGAAAACAAAATATGGTCGATGTTTAGGGTACCACCCTGTCCTATCCAACAGTCAAAGCTGAATTGTCATTTCCCTGCCCTATTATCATTGTTCAAGGCTGTTTCGGACGGGGACGTGGGTCATATATTTACGGCGTACGTGATTCGAAACAAATGGTGACACTTTGAGTCGTACTCGATTACACTTCGTGGGAACCCACAAATACGACAGCAATAGTAACAGCACTCGCACTCAGATCATTGTGCACTAAGTGCTGATAATGTGCTTCTTCACTTGTTTTTTGTCATTATACAAGATGATGGCTTGGGAACCAAAATAAAACAAAGAGATTCTGTACAGATGATAGGAAGACTTGTCAAGAATTGTTTTCTCTAAGTGTGAGAACGATTGCAGAAATATATATAGGTTATATAGCATCCTTAGACGTAATAGGCACAAAAAATACCTATCTTTGAATAGCTCCTTATAACAAACAATACAGTGTGTTGTCGAGACAGGAAATCGACTTGTTGATTCTCCATTGACATAACCCATTTCAATATTGCCTCTCCTTAACTAAAGATCTGGGCGGAGGAAAATAATGCATACAAAAAAAAACACTCTATTAAGTGTGAGTTTTGTTATTTCCTAGGCTTTTATTTGTGTTGTCCGCTGGTCACTGATGCCTCAATGTAGTCATTTTATGCTCGCTTTGGCGTGTTTGAGGCGTATTAAGGGTCAATGTGCTTATAAACATTGGTTTACGAGAGGTCATTTAAGGTGTTCCCAGATCTATATAGGTGGAGCCAGACGAGAAGAAATTGATGCAAATAAACGATAATGTCCAGACATGGTGTTATGAATACATGTATATTATTTTTGTGTGATTATGTACAAGTAGCTCTGCTAAGTATTACATTTTAAAGTATTTTATGCTGTTTCCTTATTATTCGCAAGGTTTAAACAAGAAATACTTAATGTATCCGCATATCCTAAATATGCATACGTCCTTTTTTTATATCTTGATTAATTTTTTTGCGTAGATGTGCATGTATATTTATAGTACGTAATTATCAATTTGTACAAAGCTGCAACTTGTCTAACATAAATTGTGATTGTGAATCAACAATTAATGACTGCGAATTTAGCACTAACAAGATGTTCATAACCAGATTAGTCCGCTATAATCCTCTCTATCATAATTACCGTAGTGGTTGTACTATGAACTAGGATTATTTTCAGCAACAGCGACGTAAATAGACTACAATAAACTGACTAATAAGGGGATTATTAAGCGCGAGGTGAAAGGTCAGCAGACCGTCAATGGCGCCGACCATTACGTGAAATAGAATACGGACCGTGTCTGGTCCAATTCCCGGGAGAACCCTTTGTCTCAATTAATGTTTATGGAAATCAATACATACAGATGGTTAAACACTCTTCTCTCATACCCAGGAGGGCTGTCGCGGGGAGATGTATATATTATATAGATAAAG